CGATTTTTCTGGCTCTAGTCAGCGCGCACAGGTTACCCGACGCCAGAAACGTCCGTAATGCTTCTTACTCCTGGACACCTGGAATCATTGTCAAACTAAGCTACAGACTTGAAAACTTATTTTTCTCTGAAAGGTCAGGTAATAAATATTTCAGCTTTGCAGGCCATGTGGCCTCTTCTGTAGCATTCGGCTTCCCCGGGGGGAAAGCAGCCACTGAGAACCCACGAAGGTGGGAAAGTAGGTGTGCTCCAGCAGAGCTTTGCTGGTAAAAGCGAGCTCTCGGGGCTGGTGAGATAGCTCAGCGATCTAAAGCGCGTTCTTAGGCAAGCTCAGGCAAGCGCAGGGACCGCAGTTCAGCACTGCAGGCCGTGCCAGCCCTGGCTCTAGGGCAGGATGACTTGGCCACAACAAAGAAAGAAAGAAAGAGAGAGAGAGAAAGAGAGAGAGAGAGAGAGAGAGAGAGAGAGAGAGAGAGAGAGAGAGAGAGGAAGGAAGGAACTGTGGCCTCTAGGTCCATGTTTACTGGCTCTTGGGCTGGCTGGACTCTCCTCAGAGTGCGCAGAGCCAGCGGGAAACTGAGCAGAACTTGCCCATTATCCGGCAGCACCGCCATCAACATAGTCGAGTGTATACATTCATATTGGGTCCAGCTTCGGCAAGCAGCCCACCGGAACGATGGTCTGGTCTTAAGTTTATTTGTTGCTTTCGTTATTTGATTATATTCTACTTTACATTAAATTACAAAATAGAGGGCTGGCCAGATAGCTCAGCGGATTAAAGCACCTGCAAGCAGGCACAGGGGCTGGGGATGCAATCCCTGGGCCTGTCCTGCCGGCCCCGCCCCCAGGGCACACTGAGACAGCGATTGATGTGGTGACTCATGCCTGTAATCCCAGCTCTCGGGAGGCTATAAACAGGCAGATCACTATAAGTCCAATCTAGTAGTGAGACCCTGAACATGCTGTTGTCCCTTCTCTAAAATACAGAATAATAATAATAATAATAATAATAATAATAATAAATTACAAAATGGTATTATCTTATTTAATGTTTAATTGCTTGCATGTCTTCTGTTTTTACCATTCATAAAGGAATGGGTCAGGTGTAGTTGTTGGTATATTTTTACGTAAGTTGCATCTATAGATGGAAATGTAAACATAAATATGAGTATAGACAGAAATATAAACATAATTTTCTAAAATTTTTGAAGCATGAACTAAGGGTTCAAGAAATATTTGCGCTTAGTATACCCCCAAAACAAAATATAGTAAATGTAGTGTCTTTCTCAGTTAATTGTATGATTATTCATTGCATTTAAATTTAGAATACTGTGAAATTCCGATGCTTCACTTAAAATTTTCAAGTTCCTTTCACAAAACAAATTTTATCTATTTATTTTGTTAAGATGACTAATGGTTATAGAAGTCATATTTTTAGGAATACAATAGGTGTAAACTACGTTTGATGTTACTTATGCTATATTTAGCTTTTAAATGTCAATTCGCTAATGAATCATTTTTTGGTCAACTTTAGTTTCTTTCAATGCAGTGTCTGAATGCTTTCTTCCAGAAAAAGTGTCATTGGTTGTTTGTTCTCAAGCATATGCCAACTATATTCAGCAGTCTTAGACTAGACAAGGATTTTCCCAGTGTGATCCTGTTGATTTCTTACAGGGCTCGCTTTCTCATGTCCTACAGATCAATAAATAGTCTGATGTTTCCCGATCAAAGAGGCGTTCCCTGACACGGCAGCACCCGGCAGCTGCTCTGCCCGCCCCCACCCCATCCTCCAGCCCCAAACTGCAGCTAGCCACTAGGTCTCGTCCTTACCATCGGAGCGCATGCCAGCCAGGGCCAGAACCTTCAGAGGCCTCTGCTCTTGTAGGCTCCCGACCAGGACTGGAATGAACGAGGAGGCTGTGAACGGACATGAGCACGTGCTTCATTTAACGAGAGCGATAGAAAAACACTGTGTCTTAACACAGGACTTCTGGCCAAATGTATCAAAAATTAGACTCAAATGAATCAGAAAATTAAAATCAAAGATGCCTATTTTTGCCCATTTACAGATAAATTTCACAGTACATTTTGTCAATCAACATAAAATTCAGCACTCTATTATATACTTTTACAAACTGATTACTTGTGAAGCACAATTTAAATTCATTTTTTTTTAATCTTTTATACTATAATTTCTGGGGAATATAATGCATATATGTAATATTTCCCACAGGCTCTTGAAGCATAGCTTTAAAAAAATTAAAATCTATGAGGATTTCTGAGGATAGATTTCTTTATTTGGACTTCTGATTTATACACACTGGAATACTGAAATAATAAGTGATGACTTATTGTCTTGAGAGGCTTAACTGCAGTTAGTTGAATTTTTAAGAAAATTTTTTTCCTTCTATTACTGAACTTTTTTTCTGCTTGTAAATATCTGAGATAAATAAAACAGGCTGGGATGTATATTTTAATTTTGTAACCTACTGAACTGAGCTTGGGACGTACGTGCCTGTTTGTTGGGAATTAAAGACCACTCTTTTAAAACTTGAGTTCTGCTGCAGGTTTGTCATTGGGCTTCTGGGCCCTGAAATGTGGGGAGTCTTATTTGGTGCTTATGTTTCTTTATTCATTCGTGAATAAAGTGCTTACATAACGTGCGCCTTGGGCTATGCACTACTCAGATTTCTGAAGAGTAATAGATGCTACAACTATGCAGTATGATCGAAATATACGGAGAATGTTAAATTAAACTCCCAGTCGTCGTAGCCAAAGATGCGTTGTCTTCAATCACCATCAGAAGACTCCTCTTCTTGAACGTATCCCTCCTTGTTGCCATTTCTGAAGAGCTCTACAAGTGTTCTCTTATGGGTATCTGTATGAATTATGATTTTTAAAAAAGTACAGTAAATGCTGCTGCCAAGTGCCAGAATGGCAAAAACATCACAGCGTGTGTGCGTCTACCTAATTTATAGGATAAGGAACTGCAGGACTCTTGGCTTTTCCCCAAAGTCCAAATGCCCATGCAAAGCAAGCATTTTGAATCAATTTGGGATATCCAAGCAGCCACAGCAGCACAGTCAAAGATGCTCACGAAAGCAAAGCCTTCAGAAATGTTTCAGAATGCAGTAAAGTAATGGGATGAATGTGTGCGAATCTCTACAGTTTTCTAGGTACATTAACAGCACTGTGTCCTTTACTGCAATACACTTTTTTTTTAAATTTAAAGATTTACCCTATTTTTTTTCCATGACGCCACATCTCTTTCCTCAGAACTTATGTTCAGTGGAAAGAAAGTCAACTCAATAATGAATGAGCACAAACATGGTGCTGCTAAGGGGCATAAAGCATCGTGCAGGTCCAGAGGTGATGGCGACAATGTGTTAGCCACAAGTGACTGCAAAGCCTGTCCCTAGCGGTACACTTACCCCAAGCAGAGAAGCGGGGTGACGCGTCACTTTCTGCACTGGAAACCATCCCTGAGACAGCCGCCAGTGGGAAGGGCGGGGCCTTCTTCTTGCATGGTAGTGGATGGAAAAGAGAGGTGGGCACTGCGGCCATTGGGGCTTTAAACAACAGTCATGCTGTTCCCGTGACTGAGAACAGATGCCAGGGAATGTTTGGCACTTCCTTCAACATTCACTGGTGTAAAATTTCCCGGGCTGCTGGAGAGATGAATGATTGCCCATTATCTCACTAGTGATATGTACAGACCTGAGTTATAATTCATTGTCATAGAATGTTTTTCTATTCCATATTTTTCTTAATTCTACTGCAAGTAGCTCTGGGAAATATAGTGTGCATGTATTATGCTATTTCCTAGTAAGTTACTGAAAAAAAGGATAAGATAGTTGAAGTTCGTTTCAAATTTCACAAAGCTATATCACGTCTAAAAGTTTCATATTGTTTGTTAAAAGTTATAGTTCAGACTGGTTGTGGTCATGGTGCCAGTGACATTTTGTAGGAGTTGCTTGGCTGACTTTGTGCAAAAAGAGGGTAGAAGAGGCAGAGAAGGAAGTCTCCTTCCGATGGTGATGGCTGAGGACTGCTTGGGCGCGGTCTGTTGCCATGGAGATGAGGTGCCATGTGAATTGCCCAGAGAAAGAACCATTACCCTTGATGCAGTCTTTCGGAGAGGGAGCATAGACTGGGAAGAAACCCAAAGATTGAGTCCTGAACATTTTAGAATCAGGAAAATGTTGACGTTAGAGTAGCAGAAAGGTCCATTAAATGAATCAGAGAATAAACAACTAGTTGGGGAGAAGGCAAAAATGTTAATGAGATTATAAAAGCCAAGTTCAGAAAGTGGTGCAAATAGAGTTGAGATTTTGCTGGTTCCTGTGCAGTTCCTGTGAGTAGGATGAGCTCTTAATTTGTCTCCTGGCAGTATACACCAAGTGGATGATTATACTGTGTTCTCTCTTAGGGACGTCCATTTCTCTTTCATTATTGTAAGAACAAAACATGCTGTTTATCCTTTTGGATTTCTCAGTGTATGCTATGGCATTATTAGACAAAATGCTGCAAATTGAATCTCTAACATTTGTCTCCTATAAATACAATGTTTTATATACATTGATTAGCAACTCCTCATTTCTTATTATTTAACCTTTATAGTATTCTCTTTTGCCTTTCTTTCTCTAACTTCAATAGTTTTATTCTCTATCGACTTTTAGGGCTGGCCTAATAGCTCAGCAGATTAGAGCTCCTGCAAGCAGGCTCCCCCAGGCCTGCCGTGCTGGCCCCGCCCCCAGGGCCTGGTGAGAGGGCAGTTGAGACTGGGAGTGGAGGCACGCGCCTGTAATCCCAGCACTTGAGAGGCTGTAAACAGGCGGATCACTACGAGTCTGATCAAGTAGTGAGACCCTGAAGACCCTGGAGACCCTTCCCTAAACTATAAAAATCAATCAATCAATCAGCTTTTTATTTAAAAAAAAAAAAAAAACTCAGTTTTACTTGAAATTCTTAGGTAGCGAGGCTAAGCTAAACTCCTTCACAATGAGCACATTGACCTACCTCTGTTCCTGGAAATCAGGAGGTCATATAATCTGCTCCTGTGGCTTCTTTTAACTAGTATAAATTCTGATCGTTTGCTAATATTTTCTCTGGATTTTAAGGCTTTTGCTTCATTCAGTCATTATTTTGACAAGCAAATACTATCACTGTGCAACAGCCGCACTGAATCTCTCTCTCTCTCTCTATTCTTTTCAGAAAAATGTGATGAACCACTCGTCTCCGGCCTCCCGCATGTCGCTTTCAGCAGCTCTTCCTCTATGTCCAGCAGCTACTCCCCCGGCTATGCCAAGATAAACAAGCGAGGAGGTAAGGCAGCGTTGAGTCCTCTGCCAGTGAACACGCTAAGTGAAAGCATGGGCTGTTTGGGACACACTGCCGCGGTGCCCACTGCCAGGCAGCTGCTGTTACTAGGCGCTCCACATCGTCCTTCCTCATGTCTAGAGGCCTCACAGACACCAGGAAGCTCTCATGTGCTTCCTGCTGGGGGGAAATTTAGCAAAACTCAAACATGTCATGCTTTCTACTTTTTCTATACTTTCAACTTTGTTATGAAAACTATATAAAAACAATTATATATGTACTCAAAGTTTGGGATTTTAAATGGTTGCATTCATTGCTTCATGATAACTTCAAAGCTGAGAGCAGTTCATGGAGAGTAAAGGGAAATGACTGGAGTAAGATGCACAGAATTACTTCAAATAGATCGTCATAGAAATGTCAGGGGATGACAGCTTACAGAGGACAGGTATTGTTGTGTTTATGAATCAATCAACAAGGGCCATAAGATGTCATTTGGGAATTAAAAAAAAAAAAAAAGAGTGGTTGCCAAGAACTGGAGTGAGAAATAAGAAGGGGAAGATGTCGGTGAACAGGGAAGAAGTTGGAGGTTGAAAGAAGGAACTCCAGTTATTCAGCATGGTGGCCACGGTGAATGACAGGTTGTACACTTGAAAATTACAAACAAATTGTCATTTTGTTTATGTGCTCACTACAAACAAAGGGCATCCCTGTGAGGGGACAGGCATATTAATTAGCATGAGTAAGTAGTTTCACAATATATTCATGTAATAAGGCATCATCATTTAGTCCATAAATACATAAAATTTTATTTGTCAATTTGACTGTAATAAAATTAGGGGGCATAGGAAATACTAAATCATAGGATAATTTCAAACCACAGCAATGCAACAAATAGAAAAAAAATATAGAAGAAAGGACAATTGACAAAGATGAATGTAAAAGGGAAAGAGAAACAAAGATAAAGGGAAGAAAGTAAAACATACCACAAGGAAATAAAAGAGAATGACATGAAAATTTATAAGTGACAGAGGGGGCTGGCCAAATAGCTCAGTGGATCAAAGCCCCTGCAAGCAGGCGTGGGGGCCAGGGGTTTGATCCCTGGACCTGCTGTGCCAGCCTCACCCCTGGGGCACGCTGAGATGACAATTGGGACTGGGCATGGTGGCATGTGCCTGTAATCCCAGCTCTTGGGAGGCTGTAAACAGGTGGATCACTATGAGTCCAATCTAGTAGTGAGACCCTGAGCACCCTGTAGACCCTTCCAAAAAAACAAAAAAAAAAAAAAAAAGGAAGGAAGAAAAAGAAAAAGAAATGACAAAGGAATTAGATAAGAAATGGCTAGGATAATATATAGTGCATAATATATACAGAAGTGTGAAGATGACTTCAGGAAGCTCTGACTTATTGAAGCAGTATACAGGCAAAGTAGAAAGACATAAATAACAAAAAGATTTGATTCAATAGCTGCCGTTTTCATGGCTGTATTAACTAGCTCATATTTTGTAACCTGATATTCATCAAGTTACTACAATGATAATTTGCTATCATTACTGCTAGTTATCGGTTATGTTTCTTAAAAATCCCAAGGCAAAAGAAATTTTAGCTTTAGCTTATTGTTTCTTTTATGAGCGTCATGGAAACTCTCAACAAAAAATGAATATATGGAGAAAAACATGAAAGAAAAAAAAAAGAACTGTCCATATCCAGGTACTAACAAGGCAGACTCGTCCAGGATTATGAAATATGGAACAAAATAAAGGCCATGAAATAAATAATATATTCCCGGATGCCAAGGAATGTCATAGTCCCTAAAATCCGTGTCATGGGACTGAAAAATGTACAATTTTAATGAGAAGAAGCAGAGACAGAAAATATCTACTTAGAAATAAGCTATGAGAAAAGTATGAATGAAGAATATGATTTTCTCCATGAATTCAGGCATGTCAGGTTATACCAAGCATAGGACACTTAAGGAATAGATAGTGTAAAGCATATGTCAACAATGAGAAATGTACAAACAAACAATGAACACGTCATGGCACCGTGCTCGGAGTTAAGCAGTGAACCCATTTCACTCGAAGACTCAGCTAGCGAATTATCCCCCAGGACAAATTATATGTGTTGTAGATGCAAAAATGTAAAATGAGTTAGAATTATCAGAATCAGACAAATATGTGTTCCTCTGACTTTTCAGCGAAAAGGTCACTAGATGTGTGAGTTAGTATTTTCTTTGACTTCTGCAGGAAATAATATATCTCAGGAAAAATCTTTTTTTAACTCTCATTTTAGTAATGTTATACTTAAATTTTTGTTTGGTTTTAAACAAAGGACCAGAAGGCAATACTTGCAGGGATCATTTCTGTAGTATATAAAGTAGGACCAGATGTCACCTTAAATTACTTAAAGCTACTTATCCATTTACCTACTCATATATGCAGAGCGAGACATATACTTTTAAACCTCTGAGCTATTAATATACTTTTTTACCTGGATAATGATTTTCTTCACTGAGCTTTGAGAAATACTTTTGCTTTTATGCTGATGTTCTCTCTAGATTTTTTTCTTTTTTTTCTCTTTTCTTTCCTTTATTTTATTTTAGGGAAGGGTATATAGAGTGTTCAGGATCTCACTACTAGATCAGACTCATAGTGATCTGCCTGTTTACAGCCTCCCAAGAGCTGGGATTACAGGTACATGCCACCACGCCCAGTCTCAATTGTAGTTTCAGTGTGCCCCAGGGGCGGTGCCGGCAGGGCCGGGCTGGGGATCGAACCCACTGCCCCTGAACTTGCTTTGCAGGCGCTTTAATTTGCTGAGCTATGTGGCCGGCCCTCTGCAGATTGATTTTTGCAGGTACATGGATGAACAGATAGACAGATGGCACATAGAATACATTTGGAAGCAAAGTTTTTATCAACACAAAAATAGGTATTTGCACTATTTTGTTTTTGTCTTGTTTTGTTTTACTTTTTCTGTTTGTTTGAGTTTTTTTCTTTCTTCCTTTTTTTTTTTTGTTTGTTTTTGGGTTGTTTTGCTTTTTCAAGACAAGATCTCACTACATAGGTCAGACTGACTGTGAACTCACTAGGAGCTCCAGCTGGCCTCGAACTCACAGTGACCCTCCCGCCCTTGCCTGCTACATGCAGAGATTGCAGATGTGCACCACCAGGCCAAGCTCAATAAGCTGTTCTTAAAAAGTTATGATTTTTTTGGACTGTTCAACATTGTGTACTTTTAACTATTGATGTAATTCTTAATCACTTATTAGGGTGAAGCCGTTGTATTAGAAGAGAAAATATTGTATCCCATAGATACCGGCTTATACATTATGTTCCATTTATTAACATTTATTCTGCTGCAGCCTTATTGCTTACATTTTGGCACTCAAGGCTGTTTGCTCTGTGTAGCTGCAGGTTAACTCTCCCCAGCTATATATGTGGTTGCTTTGGATTCTGAGGCAGATCGCTCCCTCCCTACCTTGTGTGGTGCTTGGTGTCTTCACGACAGGCACAGCACACAGCGGTAGGGTTGAACTCGTCCCGCGTGGACCATGGTGGGCCCTGTAGGATGAAGGAGCCGTCATCCAAGAGGATGCTACAGTCTCTCCAAGAAAAACCTGTAATACCTAACAAGCATTCCTAGAGCACAGGCCTGCAGTCCCAGCGCTCTGGTAGGCTGAGGCAAGAGAATTAAAGTCCGAGTCCCATGTGGGGGAATTAGAGAGAGCCTATATCAAAGTTATATATATACATTTCTTTCTTTTTTTTTCTTTCTTCCAGTTTTGTATGCATATATCTGGTAGCATGACTAACTTGTTGGAAGACAACTCTGCATTGCAACAAATACTGTGAAATTCATATTACTTTAAGTGAAGTTCTGTATGACTTGTAATTTTTTGTGTTTTAATTCTATTTTGTATTCTCTTTAGAAAAAGAAACAAACAAACAAACAAACAAAACAAAACAAAACAAACCTGGAGAGGTAACTCAGTGTAAAGACACAGGACATATAGCCCAGTCCTGGACAAATGCTTATAAGCCCGCTGGGAAAAAAAAAAAAAAAAAAAAAAAAAAAAAAAAAAAAAAAAAAACACCGCAATAATTTATTCTTGCAGAAAAGGTCGTATGTAAATGCCCTTTGCAGAAGTTATTTATTCACTGAAATTCATGCTCTAATATGCATGACTAATAACCTTTGCTGATTGAGATGTTTTCTAGTAGAGCATGATCTTATATATATGAGGAGTAGAGTAAAAGGAAGCAGAGAATTCTCAAAAGAGGTAAAAAATATCTCTCTACATCTATATCTTTAGGTAGATAGAGAAGAGATAGAGATGGAGATGGAGACGGAGCCGGAGACGGAGACAGAGACAGAGACAGAGACAGAGACAGAGACAGAGATAGATAGAGACATGTAAGAGAAGCCAGGAATGCTGGGAGTATATTTTCTGAAGTTTTTTATTTTTTATTTTTTCTGTATTTTAGGGAAGAGTCTACAGGGTGTTCAGGGTCTCACTACTAGATCAGATTCGTAGTGATCCTCCTGTTTACCACCTTCTAAGTGCTGGGATTACAGGCATGCGCCACCATGCTCAGTCTCAATCGCCATCTCAGTGTGCCCCTGGGGACAGGGCTAGCACAGCAGGCCTGGGGATTGAACCTCTGGCCCTTGTGCTGCTTGCATGTGCCTTAACCTGCTGAGCTATTTGGCTGTGGGAGTGTATTTTCTCAAATCACTAGTGGCAATGCCATCTGACATACACGCTACGTAAATATTTGAAAGTGAAAAGATAGTGTAGGAAGATAAAAGATTATAATTTCCTAATTGTACCAGTGCAGAAAAAAAACAAATTCAGCATTGTGTTTAGAAACACTGATTTCAGGTTTTGTTGTGTAAGTAAGTCAACAAAATATATTTTCAAATATTTCTTACAAAGCTTGTGTTTATCAATACATAAAAAGGCAAATTAGAGTATATATGCAAATTCAGATTTAGATGACCGACGG